TTTGATTTCTGCTCAACATTTATCTATGACCTCAGAAATCCCAAAGGCCATAGCCATCTTACTAATTGTGGCATGTTTAATTCTGTATCCTGAATTACATGATCCACAGACAAATTCAGGCAAATGTGACCTCTTTTCAGAGATCTTTGTATATTCACTGTCTAATTAATTTGACACTGTGAAGGCCATTAGCTTTCAAAACGATTACTTATTTAAAGTCTAGCTAGAATGTTAAAGGGAAAATCGGACTTCTGCCCTTATTAGCCGTCAGTGTGCATTCAAGCAGCAATTCTGACCTAAAACCTTTTCTGCTTTGATGAGTGGGGCAAAATAAAAATAAAATAAATAACTATTAAAATGACTAAAATGATTGCTCATTTTTACACTAGATCACGTTTCTGCATGTATGCAGTAATAAAGCTACATACAATTCCCACCTGGCTTTGGAGTTATTGTCAGTTTTACAGAACATTATAAAGTTATGAGCTTGATTAATTTATTGTTTGACCCTCCTTTTACTATTTCAATGCTCCCATTGCAGTATGCATCTATTTTTTATGTCTAACAAATCTCATCTGTACTAACTGCCCAGCATTAAATGGTAGATGATAGATGCTATCTGATGAACATACTGAAACATGTGGGACGTGTAAAACTACAAACAAACAGCTAATATGTATTTATTTATATATGTTAATATTTATTTACTTGATTTGCAAAGAATCAGCTGTTTGTTTCTGGTGTTCACAACTTCAGTCTGATACTGAAGCTTTTCAAACAACAATCAACATATTTGCCTCCAGTAACACAAGGCTAAAGACCGACTGACTGATATTCTGATTGGCTGCTCTTCATCTGACATCTTTAAAGAGAAACTGGAGCCTATAAGCCTTGCCTCCTCTAACCCAACCTGTAATTACCACGTATGGAAATCTATGCCAAAATGCCAAACAGGAAAAAGTAAAAGAAACATTTTGACAACCAAGCATTGTTAATAGTTTTTAAATCAGATTTTTTCTCAATTCTGGTTCAAACCTAATACATATGGTTGCCTTTCTTTGTTTTCATGTCTTTTTAACTTCATCCATGTCAAAAATATATGAACGTCCAAGCATGTAACAGTACGTAAATAACAGAAAATGAGGAAAATGTACACCATTATCGAGATGCCTTTGCTGAGCTCAACAAAAAAGAAGCATTTCATTAAAAATACATTTCGCAGTAAGAGAGCCTTACTCTGCTGCACAATGAGCTGAAGTATCAAAAA